TCGTATTCACATATTTAACCAGAAGTCGTAAATAGTTATATGTGGTATATCCATTAGCTATCATATCATCTTGGTCCTAAGACCCATATGCATAGTCAATACTGATGACCTTATAGGTCCATATCTTGCGCACAAGTAACCATGGTGTTGTTTCCCCCAGGCTAGGGCCATATGATCATAAGTCACGGTATTGTTTCCCCCGGGCGAGGGCCTTGTGAACTAAGAATGCCACAAATACATTTCAGAAAATTGGACACTCATTCACTATTCATAAAATAACATTTCATAAAACAGATCATATCTTAACATTCTGAAAATACTTATAATCCAACATAGTTTGACAGAGTTGTAACTCACAGATAGCTCCGATAGCAAAATGGACAAAGCAGACAGATCGGATAGCCTATGGCATGTGACCTGTATAAACATATAACAAATGCGCATTGAACACATGCCTGGAAAACACATAACTCATTCCTTTTTCTATCTTGGCGTGTTTCTAATCTTTATCATCATTATTATGTCTTAATTAAGGCTTAGGAATCCCTAGGATGCAATGAGGAGGCCAAAATGTAAGCTGAAACACTTAGTCAAATTGTCAAAAGTAGGGCAGTCCGCTCGAGCGCAACATCGGTCACTCGAGCGGTCTGCCAAAGTACTGGTTGCTTGAATTTTTCGCTCGACAGATGCTCAACGGTCACTCGAGCGAAAGACTGAGTAAAAAAGATCTTCGCTCGAGTGCAACTTCAGTCGCTCGAGCGGTTTGCAAAATCTTGTAAAACTTCTGGGAGCATGAATTTTACGCTCGAGCTTGGACTTCTTCGCTTGAGTAGAGGTAAAAATGTAAGGGTGGTCGCTCGAGCGCAGATTCTACCGCTTGCGCTAACCCCCAAACTCTGCAAAAGTGCTGGGAGCTTGAATTCTTCGCTCGAGCGTAGACTCCAACGCTCGATCGGAGAGTGCAAATTCTGAAATTTTCAGATTTGCTTCGCAAGTTAAAAACTCAATTTCAACACTTCAAAACACAATCTTTTGGGTCAAAACTTGGTAAACATTGAGAAACTTATAGTAAGTGAAGAATTCGAAACCATTTCACAAAATCAAGCCCAAAATCTTTGTCAATTGAACAAAACTAAACTTGAAATGTTGAAAACATAACATACATGTATTCCTTGAGTTCAAACTTTCCAAATCTTGGTAGAATGAGATGTATAGCACAAAGAGGAGTTGAATTCGAATAACAAGACCAAAATATGAACATGCATGTAGGAAAACTTTGAAATCAACTTCCAAAACTCCATGATATGCACATGCATGGATGGTTTAATCCCAATTCTACTTCTTTAGCTTAATTCTCAAGTTAATCTACTTAATTCTCTTAAACTTATGCATTAAGTGCTACAACTACGCAACTAAAGGAGTGAATTCCTACCTCAAGCTTTGAATTTTCAAGTGTAAAGACTTAATCTTCCTGGACTATCCTCTTAAGTTCCCTCAATACTCTAGCAAGTTCCTTAGTTGAACTCAATTCTTCATTTCTCTCTCTCTCTCTCTCTCTCTCTCTCTCAAGTTTTGCTCTCTAAGATGACAAAATGAGAGCGTTGTACTCAAGAAGCCTTATATAGGTTGGTTTAATTGTCTTAGTTAAGCTAGAGCATTATTTAATTCTAATTATTTGGTTCCAAATCGAATTTTTAATTGAACCTACTATAATGTTCTAAAAATTCCAAATAACACATAACCCAAGGTAATTTCGTGATCGAATGCCGATAAGGGCCTCAATTCGCAGAACAAAACAGAAACACAAACTGATGTTTCTACGACAGATAGATATAAATGAAAATAACATATAACATATGTAATTAACATAGAATTTCATCTTAATTACTTATTAAGCCTTCTTAATCAAAGATCATAAGCTAATCACAGGTCGGGGTTGTTACAGTCTTCATCTCCTAAAGAGTTTGGTCCTCCAAACTCGAATTACTTTCGTTTTAGAAGAATATCGGATCCAAAAGAAACAAGTCAGGGTATCTCTTTATCATATCCTCTTTGGTCTCCCGTGTTGCATAAGTTCTTCCATGACTTTTCCAATCAACCTTCACCAGCGAAATTTCTTTATTTCATAGTCTTTTGATTTGGCGGTTCACAATCTAGATTGGTCGTTCCTTGTACGTTTAATAATCTTTCAGAAGAACATGAGTTGGCTCAATCACATGTAACGAATCTCTCAAATAATCCCAAAGCATTGAGACATGATTGTGCATATTCTCCATAACTAGAGGTATGGCCACTCGGTATGTTATTGGATTGATTTTCTCTAGAATCTCATACGGGCCAATGTATCTCGGAGCCAATTTTCCTTTCACTTCAAATCGTGTTTGCCTTTTCATAGGAGTTACTTTAATAAACATATGATCCCCGACTTCATATTCTCTGTCTTGTCTTCGGACATTGGCATAACTCTTTTGACGACTTTACGCAGTTTTCAGTCTCTGTTGAATTAGTTTTACTTTCTTTGTCGCCTCTTGCACAAGTTCTGGTCCCAATCACGGTCTATCACCTACTTCGGCCCAACAAATTGGAGATCAGCATTTCTTTCCATACAATGCTTTATAAGGAGCCATTCTAATGCTTGAATGATAGCTGTTATTGTACACAAACTCGGCCAAAGGGAGGTAAGTCTCTTAATTCCCTTGGAAATCTAACACACACATCCGTAACATATCTTCCAAAGTTTGATTGGTTCATTTAGATTGGCCGTCTGTTTGTGGGTGGTAGGCACTACTCAGTCGTAGTTCAGTTCCTAAAGCCTATTGTAAACTCTACCAAAATCTTGACGTGAACTTCAAATCTCTATCAGATACAATGGATACTGGCACACCGTACAATCTCACAATCTCATTTACATAAATGCTAGTTAACTTATCCGCATTATAAAAAGTTTTAACAGGCAGAAAATGGGCAAACTTAGTTAAACGGTCAACAATGACCTAGATAGAGTCCATAACTCGGGAGGAGCGAGGAAATCCAACAATGAAGTCCATCGTAATGTGCTCCCATTTCCATTCTGGTATTGGAAGCAATTGAAATAATCCAGCAGGTTGTTGATGTTCAGCTTTTACCTGTTGACAATGCAAATACCTAGCCACAAAATTAGTAATACTTTTCTTCATTCCAGGCCACCAGAAATTTTGTTTCAAGTCATGGTACATTCTTGTATTCCTCGGATGCATAGCAAATTTAAAGTTGTGAGCTTCGATCATAATACGTTTTCTCAATTCAGAATGGTCTGGTACACAGAGTCTACCTTGAAATTTCAACACATTGTTTTCATACACAAATCCCGGCCTCGATTTTGATTCATTTTCATTAACAATCTTCTTCAAAAATTCATTTTCTAATTGCTTTTCCTTAACTTCCTCAATTATGGTTGGTTGAACAGAAATGGCAGCTAGGATTTCACCATGTTCATGCAAAACTACTTCAATTTCATTCCTTTCCAGATCACACAACTATTATTTCTGGCCAGTGAGCAAACATGACAAATTCCCAATAGACTTTCGACTCATGTGCAACTGTATTTGCATTTCCTGAATGATATAGAATCTGTAAATCATAATCTTTTTATCAACTTAAGCCATCGTCTCTGTCTCATGTTCAATTCCTTTTGAGTAAAGAAATGTTTGAGACTTTTATGATCAGTGTACACTTCGCAAGTCACACCATAAAGATAGTGTTGCCAAATTTTCAACGCAAACACTACCACTGCTAGTTCAAGGTCATGGGTTGGGTAGTTCTTTTCATGAGGTCGGAGTTGGCGAGAAGCATAGGCAATCACTTTTTCATTTTTGCATAAGCACACATTCTAGACCCTTGTATGAAACATCACTATAAATCTGGAATCCATCTATACCATTAGGCAGAGTCAGAATGAGTGCAGTTACTAATTTGGTCTTTAATTCTTGGAAAGCAGATTCCTTTTGGTCATTCCAATCAAATGGCGTATTTTTCTGTGTTAATTGTGTCAAAGGCATAGCGAGTTTGGAGAAATCTTTCACAAATCTTCAATAGTAACTAGTAAGTCCTAGAAAACTTCTAACTTCTGACACATTTGTTGGTCTTGGCCAATTCACAATAGTTTCAATTTTCTGTGGATCTACCGAAATGCCATCTTTGTTGATTACATGCCCCAAAAATGTTACACTGTCTAGCTAGAATTCACAGTTAGAAAATTTTGCATACAACTTCTTTTCTCTCAAGATCAGTAAGGTAGTTCTTAGATGATCTTCATGTTCTTCCCTGCTTTTAGAATAAATCAGAATATCATCAATAAATACAACTATAAATTCATCAATGTAGTGTTTGAACACCCTATTCATTAAGTCCATGAATGTTGCAGGTGCATTAGTTACCCTAAATGGCATTACCAAAAACTTGTAGTGCCCATATCTAGTCCAGAAAACCATTTTCTCTATGTCTTTTATCTTAAGTTTCAATTGGTGGTATCTGGATCGAAGATCAATTTTGGAAAACACTAGGGCTTCCTGGAGTTGGTCAAACAGATCATCTATTCGGGGTAGTGAATATTTGTTCTTGATAGTTACTTTGTTCAGTTCCCGATAATCTATACATAGTCTCAAAGACACATATTTCTTTTTAACAAATAAAACTTGAGCACCCCAAGGTGAAGTGCTCGGTCAGATAAACTTCTTGTTTAACAATTCTTGAAGTTGGACTTTCAATTCTTTCAGTTTTGAGGTTGACATTCTATAAGGGGTTTTGGAAATTGGTTGTGTTTCAAGCACTACTTTAATGGTAAATTCAATTTCTCTATCAATCAAATCACCGGGTAGTTCATTTGGAAACACATCAGGAAATTCATTAACTACATGAATAGCTTCCACATTAGGACTATCAGAAGTCACGTTTAAAACACTACACAAATAACCTCGACATCCTTTCCTAAGCAATTTAACAGTTTTCAAAGCAAAAATCATTTATGGAGGTAGAACTATCCCATTCCCAGCAAACACGAATTTAGATAAACCAGGTGGTCGGAGGACAATAGATTTATTCACGCAATCAATAGTTGCACAATACTTAGTCAACCAATCTATACCCAATATGCAATCAAAATGAGCAATGTCTAAAGGCAGCAAAACAACGTATATTAACACATCTCCAACCATGACATCACACGCAGGATACACATAGGCACACATCATAGTACCCCCAGAAGGTGTAGGTACAGCTAACAAGTAATTCATGGGTTCTAGTGATCTAGTCAATTTGCGAAAAAAAGCATGCGACACGAATGAATGTGTAGAACTAGAATCTATTAACACATATGCATTTTGAGCACAAATAGGGAGTATACTTGACACCACAGATTTAGTGTTCTGTACATCGCCGGGCACGAGTGCAAACACTCTACCTTGTCTCAAGGGTTTTCTCTTAGCATTAGTTCTTATATTTGATCTTGGTGCAGAAATGGATCCGGCCAAACTTGCCATAGGACGGTTGGCATTTTTAGCTGTGAGTGGGCAATCCTTCATCATGTAGCCAAGCTTGCCACACCAGAAGCACGCACTAGAAGCACGATAATAAACAATCTTATGTTTTCTTTCACATTCTGAACAAACATGTGTAGATCCAGTACTCTGACTTGAGCTGCTAGTAGATCCCGTGTTTTGCTTCTTGTTCATAACAAATGAATGGCCTTTTTTGAACTTGTACCCAGATCTCTTGCCCTTCCATTCAGTTATTGGAGCTTTTGTTTGTTTCATTACAGCCAGGTTGGCTTCATCCATTAAAGCTCTATCAAGTACATCCACATATTTGGGCAGTTTTAAAACACTTACCCAATCAAACACATCTAGATCTAGTCCTTCCTCAAATTTTCAAGCTTTCTTATAATTCGTGACCACCATGTGTGGGGAAAAATGGGCTAATTCAGTGAACTTGGCCTCATATTTGAGCACTGAAATATTACCTTGTTTGAGTTCTTGGAATTTAGACACCTTTTTATCTCGGAAACACTGAGTGAAGTATTTTTCATAGAAGATCTCTTTAAATTGATCCCAAGTCAAAGTCCCACTACTTTCACGGACAAGCATCCACCAATGTCGGACTTCGTCTTTTAAGGTATAGGTGGCCAACAAAACTTTCTGAGTCTCGATACTTAGAAAGACTTCAAATAACTTTTCAGTTTCTAACATCCACGTTTCAGCCTTTAAAGGTTCAATTCCACCCAAGAAAGTCAGTGGCTTCATCTTATTGAATTTTTGAGTCAAGCTGATGATGTCATTATTTACCAGTTTTACTTGGACCAGAGGAGGCGGAGAAGGCAAAGGTTTTTGTCTTTGTCGTTGCATTATTGCTTCTGTCAAAGCTTTAAGCATTTATTCCATTCTGTTCATCCGAGTCTCAGAAGATTCAACTGTACTATCACTTCTTGTATTTTTCATTTGCTATAGGTAAATAGAGCACTAATAAACATAGGCAAATAATTCTTTTCACAGTGTTCAATTTCAGTTCATTTCATGTCAGTGTCAATGTATATTGGTTTAGAGACGTTCATATATTTCACACACACTCACACATGCAAATTTAATGTCTCTAATTCTTACTAGGACATCCTATAGCTCATATGGACTCGTGTGTGCGGTATAACTTGTACTTTGATACCACTCTGCCACGAGCCAAACCCGCCCCTATAGGTTTAGTGCTGTAACCAGCTAATAATCCTGGGATTACCAAAGGCCTTTGAACAAATTAAACAAGATACAGGGGCTAGCGAAAGCAAATACAAACATATATGTCCATAAAGCTGTGTAGACATACATGGGATAGAAAATTTAAAACTCAATTTCCATAATTAAGATGTCATGCCCACATCACCATTTATATGTACAGACCTACAAAAGACTTGTTCAAACTTAACAAAAGAAATACAAAAAGATCTTTAACATGATTCACAAAGGCTTTACCACCGCAAAAAGGAAACCTTCTCGGGAGACACTGTGGTTGGCTGACAAAAAGAAACTCCAGGCGAACAACTCTAAGCCTGGTTACGTACCTGGTCACCTACATACATACATAATAATAAAGTGAGCTGGAGCCTAGTGAATAACAACAGAGTAAAAGATTTATGAATGATGTTCAAACAATTTCAAGAATCAGAGTTCATATCAGAAACAGATTCGGATTCACATATTTAACCAGAAATCATAAACAGTTATATGTGATACATTCATTAGCTATCATGTCATCTTGGTCCTGAAACCCATAAGCATAGTCGGTATCGACGACCCCAAAGGTCCATATCTTGTGTACAAGTAGCCACATTATTGTTTCCTCTAGGCAAGGGCCATGTATAAACCATGGTATTGTTTCCCCTGGGCGAGGGCCATATAAACATGTACTACGGTATTGTTTCCCTCGGGTGAAGGCCTTGTGAACTAAGGATGCCACAAATACATTTTAGAAAGTTGGACACTCATTCACTATTCATAAAATAACATTTCATAAAATAGATCATATCTTAACATTATGAAAATAGTTATAATCTAACATAGCTTTATAGAGTCGTTACTCATAGATATCTCTCAATAGCAAAATGGACATAGCAAACAGATCGGATAGCCTATGGCGTGTAACCTACACAAACACATAACAAATGTGCATTGAACACATGCCCGAAAAACACATAACTCATTGATTTTTCTATCTTGGCTTGTTTCTAATCTTTATCCTCATTATTATGTCTTAATTAAGGCTTAAGAATGTCTGGGATGCAATGAGGATGCCAAAATGTAAGTTGAAAACACTTAGTCAAATTTTTAAAAATAGGGCAGTCCGCTCAAGCGCAATATCGGTCGCTCAAGCAATCTGCAAAGTCTGCAACAGTACTGGTTGCTTGAATTTTCCGCTCGACAGATTCTTGACGGTCACTCAAGCCAAAGACTGAGTAAAAAGGGTCTTCGCTCAAGCGTAACTTCAGTCGCTCAAGCGATCTGCAAAATTTTGTAAAACTTCTAGGAGCATGAATTTTACGCTTGAGCTTAGACTTCTTTGCTCGAGTGGAGGTACAAATGTAAAGGTGGTCGCTTGAGCACAGATTTTGCCGCTCGAGTTAAACCCCGAACTCTGCAAAAGTGCTGGGAGTTTGAATTCTTCGCTTGAGCTTAGACTCCAATGTTCGAACGGAGAGCGCAAATTCTGGAATTTCCACATTTGCTTCCCAAGTTAAAAACTCAATTTCAACACTTCAAAACACAATCTTTTGGGCCAAAACTTGGTAAAACATTGAGAAACTCATAGTAAGTTGTAGTGACCCTAATTTTTCACAAGTCATATTTATTATTATTACTTCATTTTATTTTTGACTTTATTAATTGTGTGGATACGTGAGAATTTAATATGATATTTACTTATATATAATTAATTTGAATATATGTTGATATTTACTTATATATAATTAATTTGAATATATATATATATTGATATTTTATATATATATATATATATATATAAAAGGTGTTTTAAATATTGATAAAATATATATTATATTTATGTATCTGTATGTGATAAGTGTAAAATATAATATAACAGTCAATTAGATTTTAATATAATTACACTTAGTATAATATGTTTGACCTAGATTGAATTACAAAAGGGAATTTGTAAGAGGAGAGCAGCCGAGAGAGAGAGAGAGAGAGTGTGTGTGAGATCAAAGTCAAAGAGTGGAATTAAGGAATCAAGAGGAACAGCGGAAGAAGGTGGGGGGAAAAAGAATAAAAAAGATTAGGATTTTATTTTGGTGGTTTTATTAATTATTCAAGTGATTCTCTGATTTTCAAAAAAATATTGTGAGTATAAAACCCACTTCCCTTGAATTATATTTAGTTCGTTGTTTTTATTTATTTATTTTTATTTATTTGATGTTGAATTGATTTCATATTTACATGTAGATGATTGATTGATTTTAATTATTTTGATTAGTTGTGTATGTAAGGTTTAGGATTTTTAGATGATTGATTGATTTTAATTATTTTGATTAGTTGTGTATGTAAGGTTTAGGATTTTTAGATGATTGATTGATTTTAATTATTTTGATTAGTTGTGTATGTAAGGTTTAGGATTTTTAGATGATTGATTGATTTTAATTATTTTGATTAGTTGTGTATGTAAGGTTTAGGGTTTTTGGAGGATTGATTGATTTTAATTATTTTGATTAGTTGTGTATCCCAGGCTTAGGGTTTTATATCGATTTATTTTATGGTTGTAATCACATTCATGGATTTATGAAATTAAAATAAATTAGGAACCCATAGATAAATTCCTTACACTCCACCATGACTCCATGGATTGTTGTTTTATTTGAATGTTGGTGAAAAAGAGTGTATGAAAAAAAAAAGTGAGGATTATGATAATTATTTGAATGCCTTAAGTTTGGCATTGTTATGTTTATTCTCATGAGTAAGATGTTGTGTATATATATTGTTGCCTCGTTCTCATGAGTACACGAGTGCTTTGATTTATGCGTGTACGTATATGCTAACCATCCGGGGAGTGTGGGTCAAACTCGGGACGATATCAGTTTTGAGAAAGGAGAAAAGTTGAGAAAGTAGAGAACCAAGCTCTAGGGGCTTGTTTTAAGCCATAAAGAGCTTTGTTTAATTTTGTAAACAAGATGAGGTTGAGTAGCATGAACAAAACCCTGAGGTTGGACCAGGTACACTTCTTCTTCAAGAACCCCATGGAGGAAAGCATTGGAAATGTCAAGCTGTTTGATTGGCCAATCAAAATGGAGAGCAAGACACAAAAGAATTTTGATAGTTTGTTGTTTAGCCACAGGACTAAAAGTCTCATGATAATACACTTCCTCAGTTTGGAGAAAGTCCTTGGCAACTAGTCCAGTTTTGTGTCTATCTATTGTGCCATCTAAATTCTTTTTCAACCTATAAACCCATTTGCAACCAATGGCCTATTTGCTAGGTGGTAACAAGACTACGGTCTAAGTACTTTGCTTTTAAAGAGCTGCATATTCATCAAACATAGCAGCCTGCCAAGCAAAAGATGAGGCAGCCTTAGAATAGGTTTGAGGTTCAAAGTGGACAGAGAAAGCAAGAAGAGAGACAGAAGTGGAAGAGGAAGGAAGCCTTTGGGATTTAGACCTAGTATTCATGGGATGAGCAGTAGATGGAACACAGGGAAGATTGATAGAAATGGAAGAAATAGGAATTTGAGTAGAAGGATCAATAGAAAGATAAGGAACAAGAGAAGAAAGATGAGGAACAACAACTGAAGATGGAACTGGTTGTTGTGAGGGAGCTTGTAACAACCCTCACTCTGTCTTAGTCATGCTCACATGCATTTATATGATTTTGTCTTGTTAAGTTGCATTCCTGAAATCCTGTTTTGTTTTATCTAAGTGTTGTTGCAAGCTTTGTTCCTTGTTTAGTGTGTGTTTAGCCGAGGTCATCTTAAGCCCAGGTCACACCTTTGAATCTCTTATACCTAGGACCATCTTGGAACCACTTTGGTTGACCTCCACCTTCGCCCTGGCATATTGACCGAGATGTCATCATCTAGGCCGAGGTGTGCATCACCAAGGCCGAGATATGTATCATCTAAGTCGAGATGTTATTCTTAGGTATTTTAGATCTTTGATCCCTGCACCTAGTGGTCTTGTTCCTGGACTGGTATGACCTAGACCGAGGTGTGGCACATCTAGGCCGAGGTGTGGCACAGCTAGGCCAAGTGTTATCCTTCCTAGCCAAGATCATTGAGACCTTACTTGCCGAAGCCTATGTCCTAATCCGAGATCATTACCTACTGGAGTGCCCATGTCACCTTACTTGTTGTACACCTTTGTCATGCTCTTGTCTTGTCAGTCAGTCACCTTTTTGAGGAGAGCCAACCAGCCTTTGCGACGTGTCCTAGCAGAGGGTTAAGTCAGTCGGCAAGAGAGAAAACATATCATTTTGTTATATCTTTGTCCTAGGAAGAGAGAGAAGCTCTAGGAAGAGGAAGAAGGAGTTCTTGAAAGAGAAGTAGATTTCCAAGCTTAATCCTTAGAGTCTAAACCGTTTAATCCGTGTTTTGAGGTTAGATTCTTGATTTGCTCTTGTTGTTCTTCATGTTTATTTGATCACATTGCATGATCTAGCATGATTCATGAGCCATGCATTCATTTAAAGTTTTGTTTTAGAAAGAGAAAATGATGTTCTTGTGTTCTTGAAGAAAAATCATGTTTTGATCCAAAAGTGTGTATCAAGTTCCATGTTTTTGTGTTTGTTTTCATGAAATCTTCATGTATTGGTACCCAGGTCCATGCTTTTGAACTCATATCATGAAATCCTAGATTTTGAATAAGAAGTTATGATTTTTGGCATTC